CAAATTCCACAGAGACAGTCACCCGAGCGTGGAATCAAATCCGGGTCCCTCGTGCTGGGATGCAGCAGTGCTAACCCACTGATCCACCGTGCCACCCAGTTTCCCTCTTAATACAGTAATTACACAGAAAACTATGGGCTGGTGAGCAAAGGTGCCCAGTAATATTGTCATCGCCAGTTCAGAAGAGATTTATGTTGAGCATACAGACAGCACTGTTGGTGCACCTACACCAGGAGGACTGCAGCAATTCCAGAAAGTGGTTCACCATCGTCTTCTCAGAGACAATTAGATATGAGGAACAACTGGTGGCATTGCCAACAAAACTCACCACAGGAATGAATTTTGAAAACAAAATAATAGTCAAAAAAGTCTTAATAAATCTTCTGTGAATAATTTTCTAGCAAGGTTGATGTACTTTCTCTCACCTAGTTGTTCCTTTTTAGGATTAAATGGAGAAGGTAAACATGCTAAATCTCATGCATGCTCTGAAACACTGCTTTCCAGTTCAATCTTTCTACATTTGACAGATTGAGTAAGATCTACATCACTAAAACAGAGTATCTGACCAAGCATATCATTTTTTTTTGATGGCATCTTTTCTCTGAACATTGGCTGTTACATTTCAATAATACAACCGCTGACTTTATTTCATATGCAACTACAATTACAAATAGCAAATCAACTGAAAATATTAAATAATGATTGTGTTGACATTTTTTAGAAAAATTATTTTCCATTAAAACATTCAAAAGGAATTAGTTTTGCAGAGCTGTATGATACAGGACAAATTATTTTGAGATATTATTTTGAGACGAAAGTTACTTCTTTGCAAAAAGTGAAGTCTCATTAAGTGGAAAGGACATAAATTTTCCATCTGCATGCCAGCAAATTAAACAGCAACAGGTCAGCCACAGTCAAGATGAATGTGTGATCATTTACATAAATTTCACAAATGAAAAGATAATTAATTGTACAGAGCTAAAGTGGTGAACTGTAACAAACATGCAGACTTTCCACTGAAGATTTGGTGATTTTAAGTGAACAAAGGTAACAATCTCTCCCTTAATGTCAGCAAAATGAAAGAGCCGGTCATTGACTTCAGGCAGCAAGATGGAGGACACGCCCCTGTCTACATCAAGATGCTGAGGTGGAGATGATCGAGACCGTCAGGTTCCAAGGAGTGATGATCACCAAAAATCTGTCCTAGTCTACCCATGTTGATACTATGGTCAAGAAAGCACAACAATGCCTCTACATCTTCAGGAAGCTAAGCAAATTCAGCATGTCCATAAAGACTCTTAACAATTTTTATAGATGCACCATAGAAAGCATTCTGTCTGGATACATCATGGCTTGGTATGGCAACTGCTCTGCCCAGGACAGTAAGAAACTACAGGGAGTTGTGAAAACAGCCCAGTCCATCACACAAACCAACCTTCCATCCATTGACTCCGTCTATATTTCCTGCTGCCTCAGGAAGGGAACCAACATAATCAAAGACCCCTCTCACTCCAGGTATAATATTTTGCTTCCAACTTCACCAGTGTCCCACATTCTAGTCTCTGTAAACTTGAGGCCATCCAAAACTCTGTAGACCATATCCTGGTCATATATTACCCCCATACTTGCAGTCTGGCTTCCAATTATACAATACCTTGACTTTAAAAGTCTTCCTTGGTTTGGTGACCTTATCCTCCCTGACCTTATCCCTCCCTATCTTTGTGATCAAGACGAATCTTCAAAGATACCTATGTGAGATAGCTCTGGCCACTTCAATGTCACTAATTTTAATTGATTCTCCACCAGACAAAGATACAAGTCTCTGGATTTTCTGACCTAAATCTCTCAGATTTCCTTCTTTAAGTCTCTCCTTAATAACAATCTCTGATCAAACTTATGGTCATCTACTCCAATATGTCCTAATGTAGCTCAATGTTATATTTTAGTTATCATTGCCACAAGTCGTAATTTGGGAGATATTAGTACATGAAAGGCACTAGATGAATACAAGTTATTGTTGTTGCAAGGTATCTGATGAAATAATTTTTCAAGAACTGCTAATTTATTTTTAGCATGTAAAAAATTGTGCCATGATGTGATGTGTACATGTTGCAACCTTTATAATTCATGCCATGATTCTAAAGAGATCAACTGTATGTTTGTTGGATAACAAAGTATGTTTGTCAATGTGTCCTGGCAATCCAAGCAATACAAACAGGATGGAAGTTAACAAAACAAAACTTATTATCTAGCCAACACAAAGAGCTGCAATTGCAATGAAAGTATAAAGAGTAAAATGAGAGAATAAAGAGGATAAGTACAGAGATGCAGGCACAAAGGAAAAAGGAGAACAGACTGAACAGAAAATTCTTTTCAGGAGTAGAAATAACTAAACCAGGAAGAGGTCAGTTCTTCTGTTTGGCAGAATAGGAGATAGGTGCTCTCAGCTCCTCTATGTGGGATTGGCTAAAACCTGGAAAGCTGTGTGAACAGCTCAGAAGTGTTAAAGAGTTAAGTGTATGCCCAGCCATGGTCAAAACATGAAGCAGGATGGGCTCTAGGGACAGAGGGATCATAGAACTGCGCCTTGCTGATAATACTCATATCAATGAGACTCAACAGTGAAAGCCGCTGTCAGCCAGGACTCCTTTATTCACGCAGGGTAGATCATAGTTGTATATTGTGTAACAATGTTAAATTTGTGAATTTGTTAGGATCCCTGTGTAAAGTAAAATAACCAGTGATTGAATGACTGCAGCCTCCCTTACACACATACAACACACACACTAACGTAACAGGAATACAAAAAATGTAAATTAGCAACAAAATTTTGCTTTTTATCTAAAGAAGGGTCCCGACCCGAAACGTCAACTTTCCTGCTCCTCTGATGCTGCCTGGCCTGCTGTGATCCTCCAGCTCCACATTGTGTTATCTCTGACTCCAGCATCTGCAGCTCTCGCTATCTCATAGTGTCCAGGGATGTGCAGGCTAGGTGGATTAGTTATGGGAAATGCAGGGTAAGGGGATGCTGGGTCTGGATAGAATGCTCCTCGGAGGGCTAGATGGGCCAAATGGTCTGCTTTCACACTTTAGGAGTTCTATGATTCTATGATTGTTTTTGTCTTATTAAGTAGCTAAAGTGAAAATTATCTATTTATTTTATATTTTTAAAGTATATTTTAATCTGTTCGTGCACATGTAAGTTGCACTGGTTCTGATCAGTGTTCAAGTGAATTACAAAAGCAGAATTTTGTTGGTAATTTACATTTTTAGTATTCCTGGTGTGTTTGTGTGTGTGTTGTATGTGTGTAAGGGAGGCTGCAGTCATTCAGTAACATTGGTTATTTTGTTTTTCACAGGGATCCGAATAATTTCACAAACCTAACGATGATACAATGAAAGTTAAACCCCAGCCACATCAATCTGAACAATCACATTTTGACACATATATGATTACTGTATGTTGAGGATTACAAATCTGTCTACAACTTGAGAGAAAAATAAAAAAAAATACAGCAATTGAAGCACAGACATACTGGTACATCATTTTGAAGGTTTGAAGCAGTTATTTGGGGGTGGTGGGAAGAAATTTAAAATACTGGATCTTAGCAAACTATTTCTAATCAGTCACATGTCTGTGAAAAAAAATAGAACTTTGCAATCAGAACCGGCTGAACAGACAATTCTGCATTTGCTAATTGCAGATACAGTGTTACAGTTTCTGCTACAGTTCCCTGGTGCAGTTTGGCAATTGGCCAAAAAAAAGTCAAAAGATGGGAATATCAAGCACACATTATCTTAAGGATAAGCTGAACTTCTGAAGAAAGCTTCTGAAATTAAGCTTTTCCTTTAAGTGGAAGGGCATCTATTAAAAATATTTAAATATTAATAAATACTTATTTTAGTAGTAAACAGTTGGGACATGATTGACATCGGTCAATGGTTCTTTTTTTCTCTCTAATTATTTAAAATTGTGTTACTCATAAGTAGTGAACAAATAACTCCCGATTAAAAATGCTTATTTATTTTATATAAATACCTGCTTCAGCTGTAAAGCGTATTTAATGTTTTCTTTTTAAAAGTTTGTTCTGTATTGTTGGAAGATTGCACTGGTTCATGAGCAATCTTAAGTTTCTGACTGTGCAAATAGATTTGATTGGAAAATTAAACATCATATCAGTTCAGAAAACCAAACTCCCAACGTAGTTTGTGTTTGGATGAATAATAATAATGGTCAAAGTTCAAATTTTGTACCATGGTCTGGGGGATTGCATCCCTTATCTTTCCTTCGTAGTTAGAGCTAACATCCACTATGAATATATATATATATGCATATATATATATATCACTAACATTTACATACCATAAAATACAATTCATTGACAATTAACTCATCAAACAGCATCAAAATTGTATCACTCCATTGTTTTTTGGAGACCTGAGGGTATTCTTCAGATGTATGAGGCTAGCATCTAAAACAAATCAACTGATAAATGGTCTGCATTGCTATTTTACCAAGGCTATTAAATTGACCCAGAAATAAAGACAAATGTGAAGATTGTAAGGAAGAAGCATTCACTTAACAGGGTAATTTGAGACATAGAAGGCAAAACTAGAATAAAAAGTGTAAATAAAAACAAAATGTCACAAAGGATTTTTTAAAAAAATATTTAAAACTAGAAACTCACCACATTGTTGCTGGGACTCAAAAATAACACAACTGACAGCAGAGATAATAATTGATTCATTCATTCAGTCCTACATAACTGGCCTATTTTAATATGCATGTCACAGAAAATGATGGAAAGCCACATTAGAAAATTGAATAAACAGATAAATGGCAACATCCATCATACAGCAAATTATTCTACGAATTGGATGAGTTCAAAATAACAGCTGGCAAATGTCTTCTTAATTTGATTTCTGGATAATACAATCACATCAACACAATTAAAATGTCCTTACCCCCTCCGTCTTGTGCCTGGGATTGGTAATCTTACCTGACCTCTCCAGTGTCCTCTGTTACTAGGACATCGGTCTTGCAGCTGGCTAATGGCCTGATGGACAGCTCCACTGGAGGCACAACAAAACTTTTACTAACTGGCAGCCATAAACCTTGACCCAGACTGTAGGTAGATCTAAAAAGAGAAAGAAACAACAATAAATACGGAGGCCGGAAAATTAGATTGAATCATGGTTGAATGCGGGCAGTCACCATGAGGGAATACCCTCCATGCATTGCTCGTTATCCTGGGACTACACTGTATTCGCTGATTGAAGTGAACAGACACACAACGTGACTGTACCTCTGAGCAAGAGCTGTGAAATCATGACAGTTTAGCACAAGTTAAAACTGGCCAGCACTATCTAAAGGGGAGGTGCATTATGGATAGCTTTTGGCCCGGGAAAAACAGTTAATGGCATAAAGTAGCAGATAACAGGCTAAAAGTTTTGTTTTGAGTTGTACTGGAGGCCTTTATGAGGATGTGAAGAGGATGAGAGATGTCACCTATCCACAAGGACTAGGGCGTGCAGACAAATATTGCGAAGACGTTGCAACCAGATAGTTGCAGTAGTCATTGCCAGGGTTTTGTTGGAGAATGTTCACACAAATATATAAAAGTACATCTTCAAGTGCCATATTGCGCTAACTACATCACATGCCTCACTCACGGCACATCACACCCTATCATTTAACTAATTTTGGCAAGGCTTCGAGTTACAAATTTTCAACTATTCAATCAGGATGGGCATATTACCCAAACACGTTCGCACATACTGACATACTTAACATTTGTTCTTGTATCCCACTGCATAATTGTGTAAAAATAAAGACAAAAGGGCTGTTCTCTCATTAGAGAGAGATCACTGGTGGTGATTTAACCTGAGGGTCACCTCCTCTCAAGTGAGTGGAAAGTTTGAGAGTCCTTCACGACAATCTCAGCCAGTACAGGAATTGAACCTGAGTTGTTGGCATTACTCAGCATCGCAAGTTAACTGAATTTCCATAATTGTATAAGGACACACAATAACCTTACACACCTGCCTTTTCCTTTCAGATACTCAAGAACCACAGACTAAAACTGCAAGAAGTGGATGAACATGTCACTCTCTTGCCCTCAGACATTAACTCTGATACTGGTTTGGATTCAGTTTTGGATCCTATGTGGATATCCTTTTGTCTAACTTACGCTTTCTTGCCACCAAACAGTGACTATTGTCTGACACTGGTAGGTTTCTGCACAACAAAATGCATTGATAGACCTTACAATCTTGAGACCAGTTTCAATGAGTGTAGAGGAGTTTGACACAGGACTTTGTGCAGAGCTTGAAATTTATCATTTCCAGCATCAAAGTGCTGGTCAGCTCAATTAGTCTCAGTTTTCACCGCAATACAAACACAAGCCACTACACCCTGGGAAGCTGCCATGATAATGATTCTGCATGACCAGCTTGCTGCCAGTGTCCTTTATATATTTTGGTGGCCCCTACATGTGCATTAAAGCCCTTGCTGAAATGGTAGCCTGGCCCAGTCACCACCAGAAGGGTGCACACATACTGCAGGTCACACATTGTGCGGTCATTGAACTAGGAAACCACGTGCCAAGGAGGCAAATGTACTTGCCGTGCTGTCATGTTAAGCCCTTCAGTAATTTCCCAAACATGGAATTATTTACAGGTAAATAGGAGCATTTAAGAGACAGCAAGATTCCGTGAACTGTGAGGAAAGTTAGATTTTAACTGGCATTGTTGGTCCCTGGATAATATTGACTGTGAATAGAATCATAGCATGTTCAACATTCAGCTCAACCAGTACAAAATAAACAATGGGCCTTGGTTTGATCTACCATCAACAATCCAACACCCTCTTAATGCTCCACCAATGTTTTAATCCAGGACTTGTTACTCCAGCATCTGAGTTCAATTCTTATGGTGAAAGAGTCTACACTGGAAAGTTTCAAAAGAAGATATTTGATCAATTAAAATGGACTAAATAAAATCTCCTTTCGGTTCCAGAGATCAGTGATTTCAGTTATGAGGATAGAATGAAATATTTGGGACTGTTCTCCGTGGAGAAAAGAAGGCTAAGAGGGGATCTGATAGAGATTTCAAAACCCATGACCAGGCTTGATAAGTAGATGGGGAGAAACTGCTTCCACTCATAAAAGAAACAAGAATTCAAGGGCATACATTTAAAGTGATTTGTAAAAGAAGCAAGCGGATAATTAGAAAACAAATCTTTTTTCATTCAACAAGTAGTTACAATATGGATGTATGCTGATATCAGGTTCAGCTGAGGCATTCAAGAGGGCATTGGATGATTATTTGGATAAAAGTTAATGCGCAAGGATATAGGGGAAAAGCAGGAGATTGGCATCAGTAATACCACTCACTTGAAGGGCAGGTGAAAGTACGAAGGGCTGAATGGCCTGATTCTGCAGCAATTCTGAGATTCAATAAAAAGCTCAAATTCTATTGGCATAAATTCAATCTTATCAATGACAGTTCAGAATGGAAGAAGAAACAGACTCAGCAAAATAAGCGAAGACTGAGTTACTTCATATATCATTCCTCTTTGAAGTATGCCATTCTAATTTCATCTGATCTTCGAAGGCTTTCATCACAAAACATAAGAACTGGCAGACAGTACGTGACATTCAAAGGTTTCTCTTCTCAAACCAGAAACACATCAAATAAATGTTGAACTTCTTTTGAAGTGCCACATTACTTCATGTACAAATTTTAACAACACTTGGAAAGACAACAGCCAGCTTTCAAAAGCTTAAGTTTCTGGAACAGTAATTTTCTTTCATGTGAATACTAGTCAGAGTTTAGCAGGGAAAAGTCTGAAGAATTTTCCATTGCACAATTCTGAAGACTGATCTGACTTATTAACTGCATTATTATAAACTTACAGCTGTCCAATGCTGGAATGTGGAAACATCTGCTACCTAGTAAAATGTGTAAATATGACCTTAATACTTAATTGCGATCAAGTATTCCCAAATTTTTGAGGGCAACTCAGTGTGGCCAATAAATGTTTGTCTTCCTGGTGATGCCCATACCCTAAGAACCATTAATAAAAACAAATTAGAGTAGTGTAAATTTCTCCCCCAGCTCCAGCTGAATTACAGTATTGCTAGGCTGTAGCTTCGAGCCTAGAAACACAGAAAGTAATACCTTTCTCCCCAACACTCTCCAGTTCGCATGAACACTGCAATGCCTCCACGAAATTCACATCTCAGTTCTGTAGCACTCAGTCAATTCTCCAAAAGCCTGTCAATTTGTAATTTCTGCCTAGTTTGTCACACTTTATTATATTTTTAATAAACAAAGCTTTTATGAATAAGAATGGCATTTTAAAAAGTTATTTATCAGTAATATGAATCAAAAAATAAATCAGCCCCAATTGATCTAAAACTTTAGCTATTTCTACCATGTGGACCTTAGAATGACAAGACATGGCAGGCAACACATTTCACCAGTTAAATAATGAGTTTTGTGCTAACATATTACCATGTGTACAATGTACTGTGCCCTCTGTCCAATTGTGATTAGCAGCATAGGGGAATCCACAATGTTATTAGCAGTGAATTAAACAATTACTAAACATAAACATAGGATTTGGTCAATAACACACGTTTTGCAGAGTGTTATCTCCGCAAGTGTTCATTCACTCTGAGGTGTCATGCTGGATTTCAACTCTCGCCACTAAAACAGCTGGAACAGTGAAAACATTTGAATGCTAACCACAGTGTAACCGAAATTCCCTTTTGCATCTGGTGCAGATGTGACATAGTTGAAGAATTATCTACTATATGGTGAAGGATTATGCAGCTGCATTTACTACTCCCTGGACTGCACTGGGTGAACACCATCTGCTACTCGGTGTCTCATAATTTGTTTTATTAATTGGTATGCAAGTGAAAAGCTGGTGTGGGGGTTGTAGAGAGAGAAAGGGATAGACAGCAAATTTTGAATCATTGATATAAAAGTGAAATCCATATTTAATCGTTCATGAGAGGTGACCAATACTCAAAATTTATATTTAAGTGGCCTGATGCCTACAAAACAGGGTCACTAATGTTGGCCACATCCAGACTAAAAATTGGCTATAGCTTATCAGGTCTAGAAGACTCTAATGGCAGAGTTTTACAATCTTACTACTGAACTAGAAGGCTTGGATCCAACCTGCTCCAAAGGTGCATCAGAACACATAGAGTCATACAGTCAGAGAGATATACAGCACAGAAACAGGTCCAACTTGTCCACGCCAACCAGATATCCTATATAAATCTCGTCCCATTTGCCAGCATTTGGCCCATGTACCTCTTAAACCCTTCCTAATCATATACCCATCCAGAGGCCTTTTAAAAGTTGTAATCGTACCAGCCTCCATCACTTCCTCTGGCAGCTCATTCCATATACGCACCACCTCTGAGTGAAAAAGTTGCCCCTTTTGTGCCTTGTATATCTTTCTCCTCTCACCTTAAACCTGCGCCCTCTAGTTTTGGACTCCCCCACCCCAGTGAAAAGACCTTGTCTATTTACCCTATCCATGCCCCTCATGATTTTATACCTCTATAAGGTCACCCTTCAGCCTCCAATGCTCTAGGGAAAATAGACCCAGTCTATTCAGCCTCTCCTTATAGCTCAAACACTCCAATCCTGGCAACATCCTCGTAAATCTTTTCTGAACCTTTTCAAGTTTCACAACATTCTTCCTATAGCAGGGAGATCAGAATTGCACGCAATACTCCAAAAGTGGCTGAACCAATGTCCTGTACAGCTTCAACATGACTTCCTACTTCCATACTCAGTGCACCGACCAATAACGGCAAGTGTACCAAATGCTTTCTTCACTATCCTATCTACCTGGGACTCCACTTTCAAGGAACATATTAATTTAAAGTATTACAATCCTAGTCTTAAGAGGGCTCTTATGGTGCAACGGTTGTCTCGCTGAGCTAGGAAGCCTGGATTCAAGTCCCATTTGCCCTAGAAGTGTATAATAACATCTCTGAACAGGGTGATTGGAAAACAAATCTATCAAATTAATCTGAAATTGCATATAGATCGCCATTTCTGATTCTTTAAGCTGAAAGGTTAAATTTACTTTCTTTCATAAAAAGCATAAAATTACCATTCTGAAACAGAGAGAAGGTTGGACTGCCACATTCTGATAAGTCTAAAACCACAAAGGGAGCAGAACTTAGAACCAGGAGCAAGGTGGAAGCTAACTGACAGAAATATCTTAATGTGATGATATATTCTCTCTCCCGATGACTGATAATTTTCCAACTTCAGGCCTTCAGACTGTCATTATGCACATGCAAGGAATCCACAGCTTTGGAGTTGCAATCTGTACAGTAGTGAAAGATGGCATGCACATCAGTAGACATGCTTTATTTTCTATGTCATACTCTTAAGCTGAACTTAGTACTTGCCTCCTGATGAAGCAAACTGGTTGACTGGGCTCTGGGGTAATGGGAAGACTTGTGTATGACTGGACACATGTTTCAGATGGCTCCTTTGTGGCTGACAGGAAACAGATTAAAGCAGTTTGGCTAACCTCTGTCTGCATACAGAACTCTATCCTAATCAGCATCTATCATATTTTAGACATGACACATCTAGCAGAATTTAGTTAATATTTGTTTACCACCACTTACCATTCTGAAGACATTGCTTACCAAAATCAATTAGTTTCAAGACATACTTATTAACTGTTAATAGACTGTCTACAATGAGCAAAATCATAGGAAATCCATTAAGATGCCTTTTTTTAAATAATAAAATTATGAGGGTCTGAACAATGTGGACTAGGGTGAGATTTGTGGTTAAGATTAGATTAGAAATCCAGTGAGATACATTGTGATGTAGGGAGGATCTGGCTCAATTTTTGATGTGTTTGGTATGGTGTGTTTCTCACCTGACAGAATTGCTAATTAAGGGAGATTATTGCTTATTAAATACTTTGTTGACAGCCTAACTCACTTCATTAATATTCAGCTCCCAATCTTATCAGAATCACCAAGCCAGCTAGACGTTGAGGAAACGTGATACAGAAACCAGAGTAGGTATCTCCTCTCCCCCTACCGCATCCCAAAACCAGCCCAGCTCATCCCCGCCTCCCTAACCTGTCCTTCCTCCCACCTATCCCCTCTTCCCACCCCAAGCCCCACCCCCATCTCCTACCTACTAACCTAATCCCGCCCCCTTGACCTGTCCATCCTCCCTGGACTGACCTATCTCCTCCCTAACTCCCCACCTACACTCACCTTTACTGGCTCCATCCCCGCCTCTTTGACCTGTCTGCCTCCTCTCCACCTATCTTCTCCTTTATCCATCTTCTATCCACCTCCCCCTCTCTCCCTATTTATTTCAGAACCCCCTTTCCCTCCCCCATTTCTGAAGAAGGGTCTAGGCCTGAAACGTCAGCCTTCCTGCTCGCCTGATGCTGCTTGGCCTGCTGTGTTCATCCAGCTTTGCACCTTGTTATCCTAGGTATCTGGTGGATTTACCTCATTTCTTGCTTTGAATGACCTCCATGTTTTGTAACAATAAATTGCATCTCCACGGGTGTAAGGCACACACACCCTTCATCTCATATATACCAACCCTTTGCAATGATCTTGGCACCTCAACAATACACGTACAGGCCACTTAGCAAGCATACAATCACATAGCAGGGCACACAAGCAATGAGAACTGAAAGGCTGCAGCAGGCATACATTGTGCAGGAACACAGCTCAGGGATTGGACTGGGGGGCATCTCCTGCTGCTCACATACTCGCTTAGTGCTCACTCACTTAGCACTGACCGCCACACCTAACTTATCTCTGCCTTACCTTGCCATGCTACGCCATGCCTTTAATGCACTGGCATTTCAGCTACAGCCAAAGGCTATCAATATTGTGGTCACATTGTGGTGCTATTTAATACTGATGCACGGACAAGCTGCTTGTTATGCTTGTCATGCTTCTCAAGGGAGATCAGTCTGAGGGGTTGAAGCATCGAGTTTGACAAGGTGTCAGTCTAACACCTACAACTTGTGCCAGCTGACTGGGACAGTTGATTCAATCCAATGACCATGCTGCAAAACTGGTGAGGATTTGGACTCAGTCCAGTTAGGGGTGCATGTGTGTGCATGCATAAGTGTGTGTTCGCACATGCATGTGCAAGCGTGGGGGACTCTTGTGTTCCTGGTGCATTTGAGCATCCGGGTGCCTTACAATACAGGTTACAGAGAGACAAGAGTTACCTATCACAACCATGGTTCATGGCACCATTGTTTAAGTCCATGACTGAGGCTGAGTGCAAGTTTAACGCCAGCTGTGTTTTGACCAGGGCTGTGGTGAAGCAGAGCTGTTGAAGATGCAGTTCTGCTGGTTGGACTGCTCTGAGGAGGACCTCCAATATAGTCTGGACAGAACATTCTGCTTCATCCTGTTGTTCTGAGCTCTACACAGTGGAAGCAGGGAACAAGGTGATGTGTGGATGCTGATGATCTGGGAAATGGAGGAGACCTTCCAAGCTGGAGGATGAGAATACTGGGGATAACAAAGCAGTCGATCATGACATAGCTTAGCTGCTACAAAGCAGTCAGAACCTCATTAACACTTACACCCAATAGAGGAAAGGCTTTGTGCTAGAAATTCCTCCAGAAATCTCAACGTAATTTGTACTTAGCCAAAGAAAACATAAGATTCAGCTTAATGGTTCAAACAGTGTATTGTCAGTTACTCACTTTTCTCTTTGAATTAAAGTGCATTCTGTACTCAAGAAATAGTGAGAAAAAGGATGTGTTTTAACTCATGCATGGGATGTGGGTGTCAGTGGTAAGGCAACTGTGCCCATGCTTTATTTGATGGGCAATATAGGAATGAGCCTGTGCCGGCATGATGGGCCGAATGGCCGTTTCTGTGCCATAACAGCTCTGTGATTCTGTGAATTCCCTTGAAGGTGATGTGGTGAGCTACCTTCTTGGAGGGTTGCAGTCCTTGGTATGTAACAGGGAGACTCACAAGGTTGTTAGGAAGAGATTTCTGGGATTTTGACACATGACAATGCTAGTAAATGAAATGTTTTGTGTCAAGTAATGAAAACGTTTCTGTACAGCAGAAGTAAAAGGTAGAATCAAAATCTTCCTGTTCTGCTTCAACAATATGTTTTAATCATAGACTCTGATGAGCACTGTGTTACTGCAGAAGTATAACATGTTCCACTGTAATTCTCCACATATTTTCCTAAAGTAAAATTACTTTATAAATTACTTCATAATGACCTTAGTGTGGATCAGTGGTGAGCAACGTTATCTCACAGTGGCAAGGACCTGTGTTCAAGTCTAGCCTTGGTCAACAGTCTGTGTGGAGTTTGAACATTCTGCCCGTGTCTGCATGAGTTTACTCCCACAGTCCAAAGATGTGCAGGTTAGGTTGATTGGCAGTGGAATTGGAAATTGCCCATAGTGTCTAGGGATGTGCAGGCCAGGTCAATTAGCAATGGGAAATGCTGGGTTATTGGGAGGGGTGTGGGTCCGTGATGCTTTTTGGAGGGTCTGTGTGGACTCGATGTGCCAAATGGCCTCCTTCCACATTGTAGGGATTCTATGAGCAGTGCTGAGTTAAAATTAGTTTTATGCATAAAGTAACAAAATTCAGTTTGCACAGGGCATATATAAAATGTGGAAGTATTTCCTTGAGTCTTACCTCAAAAATAAAAGAAAAACAAGTTCTCATTAATATCTGCTGATCCCCTGAAACAAGTAATTGCATTTAAATTGAGTGTAAGATATATTAAAGTGGTGTACTCTGATTTAGTGAGTTATACAATGAAAGATTTGACTAGAATCAATTACCTCGAACCATTTCAACAGAAAACCTTTCGTAATTAATCTGTTATTGCAGCAGAAGAAAAAAAAGTTAATTGAGCAAATTCACTTTTCTTTTACCTGAATATTTTTTCTGGTGCCTGGTCCCCTGTCACAAGGTCATAACCTCTTTCCAATGTTGTATATGGCCATGGTCTGCAAAAAATAACAGTAACAATTAAATACAAGTTAGGTATTTACTGAATATCAGGGAGAGTTTCTGTTGAATTATTTCTTTTTCTTGACGGCATCTTTGTCAGAAAGTCTGTCTGACTAAAAGGCTTGGCTTCTAATTGATAAAGGAGCCTGCATCTGCTGAAGTTAGTTTGAGACATCTAATCCTGGGGTGGGCAGGGGCGTGGTCTCTGGACACCAGGGGTGAGGCACAATAATTCTTAGCAGCATGCAAGTGTGGGCTGGCCTTGGGGTTGAGGGGAATCATTCTTCTCCTGACCCACAAGTAGTGCTGCAAAAGCACATCACTCTGAAACTCCCTCGAGCTGCTTGTGTTCCTGAAGCCTGGCAAACCTGGCCTTCCCCAATTATACCTGTCAAATGTGAGAGTCCCAAATTCATAAGAAGTGGACATTCATCTCCCAAAGCAGGTTGATTGTCTGTCTCCAGCTTGCCTCCACGATACTGGGAAATTGGTGCGTTGGAGGCAGGCTAGGATTAGGTTT